GTGGGTATTTGTCGCATGGGCAATTATCATAGTGGGCTTTTGTCGCATGCTCTTTCGTCCAGTGTCGCATGCTCTTTCGTCCTCTTGTCTGGGAACCATTTAAGAGCGAAAACTAAGCAGGTCAAATATGGACTGTTTACTAAATAAAAAGATGTCATTTGCTTCAGGACTCCACAGGAAAGATTTTGATATGATGTCTGCTGGCTGTCATGGTTCTGTGGTAACGAACATTCATGATCAATAAGATAAGCACCCATTTTTATCATATTTTACAGTTTTATTTCCAAAAAAAAGGAAGTATGCATATCAATCAGACTATAGAAAAATTGCAGAAAGTTTATGATAACAATTCTCTACAAAAATATTGAAACCAATCATAGTTCTAGACTAGAAGAGAAACACGCTAATGTGACAATCAAAATAGTAAAAACAACCTTGTATTTAGCGTAAGTATATTGAAACACTCAATCGAGTTCGAGGGCAGCTAAAGGTCCCTCCTCATCAGGAGAAAGAAATACCTAGAAAGAAGAAAAGAAAGGGGAAGGAGTCCCAGAAACACGTGGTCCTTATCAGCACTGCACGTGGTTATAACTGGATTTTTAATCAGAGTTGCGCTGGCCTTAGCCAGGCTATCTGATCAAGCATAAAAGACAAGAAAATTTAGCGAAGTTAAAAATAGGGAGCGAGGAGCAAATGCACCTTCACGCTCAAAATCTGAACTTCAAATAATGGAAAGCAACCACTGAACGGATTTTTATGCCCTCTGGTAGTACCAAACGCGAGGAGATATCGTCATCTATTGGCAAAAATAACTGAATTAAGATAGTAGAATTTTAAAGGCATTAGGAAGGACTGGATTGGACTTCAAATCATTAACTAAACCTGCTAAATCTTTGTGAATATGAAAAGCCTCAAGAAAATCCAATTCACCTATGGAAGAAGCCTTTTGGATAATTTTTGCAGACCCAAAGTCAAAATTATGGTTAAATGTACAACTATGATACGCTATTGAAGACTTGTTAATTTTGCCTTTTCTGACATATGATTCATGTTCCTTGATACGAAACTTCAACGCTCTTTTTGTTTGGCCAATATATCTTAAACCACACTGACACGATATACTATAAATTCCCCAAGAATTCAAGACAGAAACCCAATCTTTTAGAATCGAAGGGTGAATTTTATTAATAGGGGAGAAACCGACTTGAAAATTGAATTTCTGGAGAATCCGTGCAATTTTATAGCTAACAGAAGGATAAAATGGAAGCACGACAAGGTCATTAGTATTATTTCTAACAGTGGAATGTCTTCTTGATGGGAATCTGAAAATTTTTTTAACGGCTTTATCAATAATCACGGGAGAAAATCCACGGTCATCGCAACTGCTCTCAAATAATTAAGTTCATTGGTAAGCAAAGATTCAGAGGAACAAACTTTAAACGTGCGGAATACATAAAAGTAAAAAGAAGCCATTTTTTGCTTAACAGGGTGGCATGACTTGGCATGGGGTGGTAAACAAACTGCAAAGGGTTTACGGTACACAGTGGTGCTAAAATCAGTTTCATTGCGGAATATAATATCAAGGAAGGGGAGGGAATTGTTGGATTCAATTTCAAGAGTGAATTGGATGGCTGGATCAATTGAATTCATAATAGATAGAATCTCTGATAAATCCTCTTTATAACCGTCAAAAAGTGCGAAAGTGTCGTCAACATACCGAATCCGAAGACGAAAAGATAGTTTATCAAATAATTTCATCTCAAAATAGTGCATATAAATGTCATGAAGTACCGGACTGAGAGGATTACCCATAGCCAACCTTCTCCTCTACTTGCTAACAATATTCACACTGTAAAAAAATCTGTTGATGTCATTGTTAAACTTAAAAATATTTCTCCACTTCGTTCCATTATGGTTTCATTTGATGTCAAATCACTGTTTACTAATGTTCCGGTCGAAGGAGCACTAAATTGTCTTGAAACTAGGCTTCGGGAATTTCACTTCGCACATACTGAAATTAATGAGTTGGTTTCGCTTACTAAAGTTTCTCCGAGTCAAACCCACTTTGTTTTCCAAAATGCATATTTTCGTCAAGTTGAAGGATTGGATATGGTTAATCCTCTCAGTCCGGTACTTGCTGACATTTATATGCACTATTTTGAGATGAAATTATTTGATAAACTATCTTTTCGTTTTTGGATTCGGTATGTTGACGACACTTTCGCACTTTTTGACGGTTATAAAGAGGATTTATCCGAGATTCTATCTATTATGAATTCAATTGATCCAGCCATCCAGTTCACTCTTGAAACTGAATCCAACAACTCCCTCCCCTTCCTTGATATTCTTATAATCCGCAATGAAACTGATTTTAGCAACACTGTGTACCCTAAACCCTTTGCAGTTTGTTGTACACCCCCCATGCCAAGTCATGCCCACCTGTTAAGCAAAAAATGGCTTTCTTTTTACTATTATGTATTCAGGCACGTTTAAAGTTTGTTCCTCTGAATCTTTGCTTACCAATGAACTTAATTATTTGAGAGCAGTTGCGATTGACCGTGGATTTTCTCCCGTGATTATTGATAAAGCCGTTAAAAAATTTTCAGATTCCCATCAAAGAAGACATTCCACTGTTAGAAATAATACTAATGACCTTGTTGTGCTTCCATTTTATCCTTCTGTTAGCTATAAAATTACACAGATTCTCCAGAAATTCAATTTTCAAGTCGGTTTCACCCCTATTAATAAAATTCACCCTTCGATTCTAAAAGATTGCGTTTCTGTCTTGAATTCTTGGGGAATTTATAGTATATTGTGTCAGTGTGGTTTAAGATATATTGGCCAAACAAAAAGAACGTTGAAGTTTCGTATCAAGGAACATGAATCATATGTCAGAAAAGGCGAAATTAACAAGTCTTCAATAGCGTATCATAGTTATACATTTAACCATAATTTTGACTTTGAGTCTGCAAAAGTTATCCAAAAGGCTTCTTCCATAGGTGAATTGGATTTTCTTGAGGCTTTTCATATTCACAAAGATTTAGCAGGTTTAGTTAATGATTTGAAGTCCAATCCAGTCCTTCCTAATGCCTTTAAAATTCTACTATCTTTATTCAGTTATTTTTGCCAATAGATGGTGTTACCTCCTTGCGTTTGGTACTACCAGAGGGTATAAAAACCCGTTCAGTGGTTGCTTTCCATTATTTGAAGTTCAGATTTTGAGCGTGAAGGTGCATTTGCCCCTCGCTCCCTATTTTTAATTTTGCTAATTTTTCTTGTCTTTTATGCTTGATCAGATAGCCTGGCTCAGTAAAAGTAGGCGCCCAGTGCAACTCTGATTAAAAATCTAGTTATAACCACGTGCAGTGCTGATAAGGACCACGTGTTTCTGAGACTCCTTCCCCTTTATTTTCTTCTTTCTAGGTATTTCTTTTTCTGCTCTGGTGACTTTGGTCTCAATGCTGCTCTTTAGTCAAAGAGGCCAAACAGTGTTGATGATGATAAAGTGAAATATGTATTACATGACATGAGAGATTACAGAAATATAAAAATCCATCATTTAAGCATTCAAAACCTCATAAACAAGGTGAAATGCATCAAATAAAAGATGATTTTTTTTAACTGTTAAAGAAAATGAACCTGTATCTAATTGCTCTAAAAATTGGTAGAGTTTTATTCAAAACCTACAGAGGTAGCTTTTTTACCTAATTAAAGAAAGCTCCAATGCTTAAGTAAGCTCATTACCTGTGTTCCTCATGAACTCAAAGTTCATTCGAGAGCATGTACAAACATATGCGCCAATATCATTAAACAAGAAGGAAAAGATTCTTTCTTGAAGTGACTAATAACTGGTGATGAGAAGTGGATTGTTGAGTAATGTGCAAACAGTCTTGTCCTGATATATAATTTGTTTCAATCAACATCAAAAGTAGATATTTGTAAAGGAAGGTTATGCTGTAAATATGGTGATTTTAAAGGATCCTTGTTTTTCAGGCTACTACCAAAAAACCAACAATCAGTTCTCATGTGTATTCGCAGTTGAACAGTGGATCAGCCATCTAGAAATATCCAGAGCTTGTTGATTGCAAAGGGTTAGGTTCTATTATATCACGAAAACATTTTAATCAATTTTAATTACCTCTCAAAAATTACTGGAGCTCAGATAGGATGGTCTGATCTTGCACTACTAGTCTCTCACTTGTTTTGCTATTTTCAAAACTCCTTGTGTAGTATAATGTTAATTTGATAATGAGTATAATGTTAATTTGATAAGGCAGTAAATCAGCACCTTCATCAGATTTTGCTATTAAAATAAGTTCTATGAACAAGTAGCAGCTCACTGAAAGATGGAACAGGTTATTGGATGGAATTTGTTTTTATAATCATTGGAATGCTCTTTGTTATTTGCATAAATAAGTTCACTTCAAAAAATATGTAAAAAATAAGACTTTTGTGATAACACATTAACTAATATAGTCATAATTTTAGTTTTCAATGGAAATGGAAAGATCAGGCTTGAAGTTTCCACGTAGAAATATTATTTAGGTGCCATGGGCAAATGATATGCTTCTAAAAAAATTCTGGATTGTAAGATGTCATTGATTTTAAAACGCACATCCATTTTAAAAATATTTATACCTCGAAAAATGTGCAGCTTCTAACAAAATGAAGGAGAAAAACAACAGTGCAAAATTTAAAATTAGAGAAATCTGTATTTGATAGCCCATCAAATTGATAGAGTTGTATTCAAAATTTATACCAAACTGTGCAACTTATAATCAGAGAAAACACTAAATTCTATTGAACATTATTAGTAAATCTGCAGATCTTTTAAATTCCATTTTCAATAGTAAGTTATAGTTCCAGATGTGGTTTGAGTAACAGCTTAGATCAGTATTATGAATTAATGATGATGATTCTTTGTCATCATTAATTCATCATACTTTCTTGATGATTCTTTGTCACATGAGTAACCTTTTTTTTTTTTTTTTTCCATACAGGTTTGATTCATCAGCTACCATGTGAACTACTGTGGCCCTGTCTCTATTATGTCAAATCAGAATTATAATATTCAGCATTTATTCATCACAATGGATGTGCTTCCACTTGAAGGCGAACATATTAGGAATAATAATAATCAGAACACTTTGTGGTACCTGCGAGACAGATTATTTCATGTTCTTTTTGAAAGAGCAACAATAGCATATGCTGCGACATTTACTGAAAGTTTTCGAAAGTTTGTGGAAATTGTGTTTTTAGTTTTTGTAAGTACTTTTTAATATTTTGTTAGGCAATTAGTATTGATCAAAGTATTTTTAATATGTATTTATTTATTGTTGTAAATATGAAAATTAAAAAAAAATATTCAAGATATATATAGAAATTGAAAAATTATGCTCGTAAAAATGAGAGTGATTGCTTTTTGTTTATGATATTAGAGAATATCGTGGTCAATGTAGATCATATCTAGCAAAAATTATGTTCATATGTAACAAAAGGAAAGTTGCATACACTTGAAAAACACATTTTAAATAATGGAAAAGTAAACATAATTAGATATGAAAAACTAAGTTATAAATGCCGCTAAAGAACAATATTTACAATAGAACTTGAACAAAGAACCACAACTACCACTGGGACAATCAATGTCCTTTTTTCTGGGACAATCAATGTCCTGGTGTCCAGAGCTTAGGAGGGCCCCAAGTGAGGTCGGGAAATATTTAAAAAAAAAAAAAAAAAATTATGTTGGAGATTTTATTAAAAAAAATTGAAAAATTAAAATTTTGCTAATGATATTTATATTTTTCCTTTACAACCCGAAAAGTTATTTGTTTAATAAAGTTTATTTCTGAATAAATGAAAAACAATACTGCCAATTGCGGTGATGACTAATCAGATTATGTTAACCCTGCTATGTCACCTCTGTACAGGTCAGCTTAGATGAAAAGCTTCTGGATGAAAAAAGGGGTTGTCAGAAAGTATGATATTTACAAGAGTGGTCTGGTAGAATCTTGTAACAGGTTATTTTAGAAGAACGTTAGGCATAAAAATGATTAATGAATTTGCTTCCATAACAGTTAGAAAACAGAGATTTTTTAAATCCAAATGTAGAAAAAAATTGCATTGAATAATTTACTATTAAGCATTTTATCTTAATTATATTGTAGATATTTTATATTTTGACATGTAGGATGTCAAATAGTTTCAAATATCATATTCTCTTTGACTTAACAGGATTAAATGGGAATAAAGGTCATATAAATGAGACATTTATTGAAAAAAAATTTTCATTTGATTAAAGGTCTGTACAGTTACTTTTAATTAATAAGAAAATGATAGTCCAGCTCCATTTTGTTAATCTACTGAGTTATTATGATTTAGATGTTTACTGTTACTTTCCATTACTCAACCAGAATGCAAATCAGGTTTTAGATTATTTAAGGCAAGGTACATAAATTGTAAGACAGAGTGTGTTTCTGGCTCTCAATGCCTTGTTATTAAGTTTCCACTAGTTCAGATAAGATTGTGTTCTTTGGCTTTGCGATACTGCTGCTGTCATTGAAGTTTTTGGCCCGGTGAGAAGTTTGAGCTAAATACATGTGAAATTAATTGGCTATTAGTCTTAGTTGTCCTATTCTGTTTTGAGGACTGTAAAAAAATTGTAACGAGAATGTATGCTCAAAAGCGGCGAATCTAGCAAACACAGCCATTTAACAGCACGTCAGATCTAGCGCACGCGCTGATTTCAAATTGCGTAAGTTTAGATAGTTCTATATTTCTTAAGATGCCATTGAAATATTAGTTTAATTTTTAAATCCTTTTTTGATATCCTGTGGATTTAAAAATTTGCGAATTGTCCATGACAGAAAATTCTGCAATAGAATATTTTCAGAGAATAGGCATCATTCATTCATAGAAAATTATGTTTGAACAACCAAACCGAGATGAAATTATGCTTTAGCGATAACTTCAGTAGCGAAATAGTGATGCAGGAATTCCATTCAGTTATGTTTAGCCTTTTTTTTATATAAATTATAATAATGATCTGAAATAGATATTTACTCTTATTATTCCATTCAGTTATGTTTAGCTTTTTTATATAAATTATAATAATAAAAAAGTATTATATGAAATTAACCTTTCATCTAAATTAAAACAATAATCTTAGATAGTTATTTACTATATACTTCCTTCTTGGGTTAGGGTAGCCGGAATTAGTTTTGGCAGCACTGGTATCAACAATAATTTGGCGTTTTTTTTACAGTCCTCAAAATGGAATAGTACCGTCTTAGTTTTAAATCTTGAAACTGACTACTTTAAGTTTCATGTCACAGGTGGTTGTTGATTCGTAAGTATGAGTCATGCGTTTTTGTTTAAGCTCTTATTTAATAGAAAAAGTTTCGTTTATAAAACTTCTTAAGATTTTGCAGTTCAGACACAACGATAATTCACTTTAAATCTGTTAGTAGTTTGGACTTAGTTTATGCTACCAAAATACACCAAACTCTATAGGATAAACAATAACTAGTGAAAAAAGTGGTTAGGTTTGGGAGAAACAATAAAGATTTCATTGTCATTTGTTGTGTCAGACCCAAAAATCTCTAGTTTGGTCCTGTGTGGACAATGCCATTGAGATTAAATTTGCGTAAAACATTTGTCAAGTCATTTTGTTATTTATTGTACAGTGTTTGTTTTCTCTGGATTATGTACAATTAAATGAGCTGCTGTTTTGGATAAAATAATTCCCAAACACTGTGATATCAACATCTATTGCTGGTGTTAGCCATATATTTTTTTCCTGTTTTAGTTTTTCCTCGTAGACAATTTTTATTTTATGCTAGTGTTTGTTGTAATAATTTTTGTGTTGTTCCATAATAAGCAAATTATATTTTTTTGTTCTGTAAGATTGGGTCAATCCAATCTACAACTTGGTTAATTGTCTCCTTTTAATCCAAAGTTGACTGTACTTGTCGTGTTATGTTGTCAAATATGTAACAACTATTAATAAAGCTTATCATAGGAAAAAATATAATAGATTTCAGAGTTAATTTTTTTTGTTTCTTGTCTTGGTGTAAATCCATTCCATTTAAGAGGTAACTATTGGAATATGTTTTTTTTTTTTTTAACATTGTAGACATAAATTACCTTTTAAATCATCCTTTATTCCTTTTATAATTTTAATTAAATCGTTAGCTGAAAAAATACAATCTTATATTACAATTAACGTATAAAATAAAATAAATAATAATAAATAACTAAATGAATAGAATTAATAAAAAAAGAAGGAGGGGGGGGAAGAAAAATCTGAAAGCTTTCAGATTTTATATTACACTCAAAGGGGTGCTTTTTAACGTTTTGGGTGTTACCTTTGCTTATTAAATATCATGTTCTTCACATTTAAACCATAAAATTCAATTCAACAGCAATATCACAAAATATTTAAAAGAGCATATCTTTAGAATACCCAATACACAGTCTTGCATGTTGGAGATAAAAATGTTTTTTTTCCTTGTGCAGTGTTGCCATTGCTCGTTTTGAAATTGTTAATCAAAAATTCTGTAATGTTTGACAAAATATGAAATAGATGATAAAACAAATTCCAAATTTAGGCTTCTAGATCAGTGCAAAAAACATTCATACATTCATGCAGATTCTTCACTATTTAATTTTCTTAAATATAATGCAGAGGCTCTAATATTTGATGACGACAATTTAAAAGTGATCCAATATTTGTAGTGAACCAGGCAAAATGCCAAAGCGAAATTAAAAGCCCTTCTGCGCAAATTGCCCCTTTGGGCTAATAATAAATAAAAAAATAAAATGAAAAATACTATGAACCATTTACCTGTGTTTTCCAGCAGTTTAATTTGGAAAGTACATTTATTTGGTTCTATAAATTAGATTAATGTTTGAAGTTCTTTTCTGTCTCTTCCTATCCTTTGTTTCTTTCTCATTTGAATACTGTTTCATTCTTATATTCCAATAAAATAGGAGCTCCTGTGAAACAAAAGATTTATGGCTGTACACATGATTTATTACGCACACTGGCAAATGAATTAGAAACCCACCACCTTTTGCATGGATTACTGCTCTGATTTGTTTGGGCATTGAGTCTATATGCTTCTGAAGTGCATTTACCTCCAAAGAATACCATGCATTGGCGATACAGCTTTTTAGATCTTATAACTTAGATGGAAGAGGAGGGTGCTGTCGGATGCATCTTTCCACCGTATCCCACACATTTTCTGTGGGGTTAATATCCGGCTATGTGGTGGCCAGGGAATGTGTTGGAAGTCAGACTGATGTTCAGCGAATAAATTTTGAACACTTCTGGTATGATATATAATTGCATTATCATCCATGAAGTATCCGTAGCTATCAGGATATAAATGCAACATTGGTGGGTGCATCTGATCGGCCAGTATATCTAGGTATCTCATGGCTGTTTGTTCACCCTTGAGGAACACCAGGGTATCTCTTCCATGCCAGCAGCCCTAATTCATGATACTCCCACCAGACCCTTTCACAGTGCTAGTAAAGCTAGATGGCTTCATGGCTTCATGGGGTTCTCGCCAAATTCGACGTCTTTCATCAGTGCAAAATAAGGTGTAGCGTAATTCATCTGACCACATTACCCGTTTCCAATCCTCAGATGTCCAGTGTCTTCTTTTCCGCCACCCCTGCAAACAAATTCTTGCATGTCGGGCAGAAATGAGTGGTTTTCTCAGAGACACCTGACTATGCATTCCTATCCTCTATAATTCTCTGCGCATGGTTTGAGCTGACTGTTGGGAAGAGCTTTGGTTGATCTATGTCAGTTGAAGCATAGTAAAATCCTTATTTTGCCATACAATTTGTTCGAGATGCTGCCGATCATTCTCTTGGAAATCTGTGCTCAAACCTCAGTTAAATCTTCTAGAAAAGGACTGTGGGTTCTGATTCCAACTTTTGAAAAACCTTTGATATGGCTGCTTTTGAGAACTCCGTGAGATTTGCTGTCTTCGAAATCGGGGCCCCTGCTAAACCTGCACGAACAATTTTCCCATTTTACTTCATTCATCATGAAAAGAACTCATACACCTTACTTATACTAGCATTCTAACCATGTGTAACCCACATCATAAAAAAAAAAAAAAATAAAATTGCATACTTCATCCCTAGCATGCATTCAAATAAAAATCTCAAAGGTTTCTAATTCATTGCCCAGTGTGTGTAGATTGAGCATGACCTAACAATATTTATGTATCTTCAAGATTACGTATTA